TAAATACATATTTTATCTCCGATTTATTCCTTCCTTATGATAAATCTTCCTGAATGAATATCGTCAGCAACTTGCATGAACAAAATTAACGATGAATGATTAATAAAACGTACCAAGAACAAAAGTGATAGTTAGTGCAAATGGTGGATAAAATTTAATAATTTTTGTTACGAAAGTTGATTAACTGTTTTCTACAAGAAATATTCGCATAGATAGAAAGTATACCACATACAACATACGCGGCTCATGGTATGACGGTATGAGTCGATCGGCTCAGGCGCAAGCATACTCTACGCCTCGCATGCATGCACGGCATTCTTGCGCGATAAACCTGTCTTCATATTTCGTTGGATATCGCTCAGTTTTACTGTTAATTATACGAGTTTTTTTTCATTTAATATTACTCTACGGCTAACATACTCACATGTGTATATTTCTTTATATGACTCTATATGTATGTTATTCGAGTATATTATAGTCAGGTATGAATTTAGTTCATATTGCATAATGTACACGTTTGAATAGCTGTACAGTTTAATGCAATTTCAGTTTTTTCATCCGCATATTGCGTTGACGATATAAAAAACAGGTGTGCTTGTGTTAACTTATGCGGAAAATGATGGTGCTTGACATAGTTAAATTGACTTATTTATTTCTTCTGGTATTACTGTCAAAGGAAAATTTATTAATGATATTGATGGATTCGAACACCAAAATATTCATATGAAAGATAAGCAAAATTTTATCCTGCAGCAGATATCAAGAAAATAGGGATTCTTTATTATATAAATTATATAGAATGAAAAATTTAGTTAAACCATTTAATTTATTTAATTTAGTGTCAAATATTGATTATTATAAAATTATATATAATTTTTTAGTTAAATGTAAAATTAGAGTTGAAATGTAGGAATCTTTGTATATGGCTAGTTTGTAAATGAGAGGCCAAATAAAAAAAAGATAAGCAAAACAAAGCAAATAATATAGATATTAGATACACTTATTCTATAAAAAAGTAATGTATTCATTGAATCACTGACATATTTACTGAAGTAAACTATTATGGTCAAATTTATTATAACACATTTGCAAATGATGTGTTTAATTACTTTCCTTTTTCAACAACATATGTCTATTGAATTTCTTTTCAACGTACTCCTTCCCGTAGGGTAAGTTATAGTAATGGGCCAAAAATCAAAAATAATTTTTTTTGCATATCTTCACGTTTCAGATGTTTCTGAACATGTTTGCATACCTCAGAAAAAATGGGTGTGCGGGTATGTACGTGTGGATACAATTTTTCGTCGACGTTAGTGGGAGTATCGCTCAACTGATTTCAATGAGTTAAAAAGCAATCGATTTCTATTGATGGGGATTATTGCTGATTAGTTTTTGGGAAAGGTCGATCAAGCCGTTTTGATTTTTTGTCATCTTTGATTGTAATATAATCATGGTAATAAGGAGTTATCCAATTTGCCTTTAAACTAAATTAAAAAAATAATGCAACAGCTTTTGACGTTCTATTTATTATTCATTGGTTTTCTTAGAAATTTAAAAAAAGGACGACCAGAAGGAAATATTTGAAAAAAAAACGTGAAGTGAATGAAAACATCTTCGAATGCTAAAGCAAAGTTATAATTCTACTAATTGAGAATATAGATGTAGAATATCTGCTACATTTTGTTACAACATTTCTTAAACATATGACTTAAACTGTGAGTTTTTGGAAAAAGCAATATGAGTCTTATTAAATTGATGTTTTAAAATTGATTAGATATATCAATAATATAGGGTAGAGCGGGGCTTAAAGGTACGCGGGTAAAAATTATCTCAAAATGTAGAGAAAATATGATGTGTGACCAATCATCGCTTTAAATCGGATGTTATAATGATCTTCAATTTTGTTGTTCAAACTAACAATTAAATTGTTTCGCATTAACTGATCTGATAGCTATATTATATTTTATTATTCTATAAAAACTGTTTTAAAATTTAAAATGAAATAGTGAACTATTTTCTCTCTGGCTTTCCCCTTTTTTCCCGCCTTTGGGGAACAAGGGCCAGGTGCCAAATTTCTAAAAAAACAGCAAAAAACATATTTCTACAATGATGAATTAGCTGGATGTTTTACTGAATATAGTCAGATGGTATTTATTGTGATATAATTGGTTTGGTTTTCACAATATAATTACTCAAAGTCAAATTGGACCTTTGTGCCGCGCCCTACCCTACGTGAATATTCATGTGTCAAAAACCCGAAAATAGTTTGATGATGAAATAATAAAATATATATCAAGATAAAAATAAACTATATAAATAAATTAAAACTTTTTTAAAATTTTAGAAATACATTTGATGCTTGAGTTGCGAGCATACGATGTGAGTTCATGAACTGTAACTTAGTCATGATCAATTCAAACTTAATAAATGTTATCAACTATCTACTCATTTTTTTGTCAAACCACATATGGAAACTTTGCATTATTCATTGCCATTTCACAAAAATTGCAGATAATATAAAAATCATGTAGAACAAGATCGAACGACAAGCAGAACAAGATATAATACATTAATAAATTTTTATCAATATATTGTTAATTCGTATTCTTGAAAAATCGTCAGTTTTTTACATTAAGAAGTAATTGTAGTATTGTAGTAAAAAATAAATGTGGTTATTCCCTAGTATAACAAAGTTGTCGTATATTTATATTGATATTATACAATCTAATGAAAGTTCAGGTCGGTAAATTATTCAATGATAATAAAAATAACTTTCAGTTTCCCAACAATTGTTTATTTACGATGCTTCAGAATTATAATGATATAAAATGTAAAGCATTGTCACTATATAAATACTGTATATTAAATTCGTGTGATTTTTATGTAAATTAATAATTTATTAATTTAATGGCAAAATTATGAAAAAAACCTTTAGCGACACTTTTGAATTATTTATATTAAAATATTTATTTATTTAATATAATAAGAAAACTTTAGATTAAAAAATTGTAATTACTTGTGTATGCAATTCTTAGCCAATTCTTCAGCAATAACGAAAATGATTCTGGCTGTATATAATTTCTATTATTATTTAATTCTTAATTTTTTGTACAATTATTTTGTAGAATATCTGTATATTATTTATGTTTTTATTGTAATAACAATAAATAAGAAAGTTTGTGGTTTTTGAAAATGAAAACTTTTGATGAGCAATTTGCTGATACGATTGTCATTTACCACTATAATGGTGATAATTATTGAGTCAGAATTTATAAAGTAAATTAAAAATAAAAAACCATTACATCTAGAAGAAAAAACAGATTTATCAATATTTTTTATGCAATCTTTGAAGTCATAAAGTGTTTGTTCTCATTATGCAATATTTGTCCGTAATTAAAATTTTAGAGAAGCAAAAATTAATAAAATTTTAACTGCAATCATTTACTTAAATGAATACATTATTTGTGAATTATACTAACATATAATCGATGCATCAAACGCAATTTATCTCTATAAAAAGGAAATTAGTGTAAAACAAATGCAACTCAGATACAACCAAACCATATTAATATTATTATTAATTCACATATAAATAGAAAAGGAAGTTATATTTTCCGAACTATCATTTACTTTGCTTTAAAAGATTTGTACAAATTTAAATTATTATAAAAAATATAACTTCCGCTATTATAGTTTCAAAGACACATTGTAAAATTGACTTTACCTCTTTTTTTAAACTAATGATCATTGTATATGGTTATCTGTATCTATACATATGAAAGTTTTAACAGAGAAGAATATATGCCGCGCTCCAAACAAATTAAATTTATGTAAGAGACCTTCTCATGGACCATGAATAGGTCAAAATGGTTTATTGAAAAATAATATTTACTAATCAAGTTTAATGAATTCGATATACAAAAGATATAAAAAGTCTTTCATGGACAATGGTCTCTAACGCATAATGCCGATAGATAATTGCTTTGCTCTTCCGGCTGATGAACTAATCTCAACACATTTTTTATGTTATTTAGTGCATAAACGTAGAGTTAGGTGATGTTTCATTCATTATTCAGCATAACATATTTTTATAAATATGTCCTAATATCGAATTAATAAATCTCTATAATAATCATTTTTAAAATACAATAATATTGAAGCAAGAGCGAAGCTGTGAATACTGTTGATTTCTATATTTGTCTATTGTTTTCTGATAGGTGATTAAAAAATAATTTACAATAAGATGCAAACTATCTTTGAATTTGTTGAATTGGATTAGAATCTCGTAAAAATGTAAGGCATCCTTTTGGATGATATTGAATTTATACTTGAAGTTAAAGTAAATGATACTTCAATAGATATAAATTCATTTTCTTTTATTTAAAAATTGGTTGCATTTGAGTTGCATGTACACAAGGTTTCTTTTAAAAGTAATAAATTGCATTTGCATCTAAAAATATGCCAGTAGACATATATGAGTTAGATAATTAGATTGAATTATTCACTGAAAAGGGTTTTAAAAATCTGTGACTTTTCTCATTTTTTGAGAGATGCTTTGCTTTGCTTTGCTTTAAGCGACGGTCCGAATATCGGGTAGAACTACTCTTCCCGCATAAAGTGTGTTAATTATCTGATACTTTTAGTTATTTTTATTACTAAATAAACAGATCGAAACTTTGATATATTTGCTTTGTATCGATGTATCTTCACAAAAGTGAACGAAATGATCTTCTAAAATTTCTCTAGTATATTGATTGGTTTACGTTTCAAAATCCTAAATATATTAACAGCAATTCCAGCATGTTCAATAACGTTTACAAATGATATTTATATTATTATTTATCAAAATTATTTAATATTTTAATAAATATACTAATATTGCAATTAGTAATTCAATCATTATGTTTTGATCGAAATATTTGCAATTTATTAAACAGTTCTAAAAAATCTTTAATCATTCGATCTATAAATATTATAATATTAAAATTTTTAGTACTCACAGATAAACGTATGGTCCCAATTCGTCTAATATCGGTTTTGAACCGTTGTTGAGGAACTCGTCGGCGTTCGTCATGTTGTAGACATAAATTCTGATTACAGGTTCTACCGGCGGTTTTGCCCACCAGCCATACGTCTGTGAACCAGGTTGAAGAACAATTTGCTGTAACAAAAACAATGCTGTTGGTTTTACTAATTCATTTTCAAGTGCGTGATAGAAGTAGCATAATCGGCGGTATTTAGGTAGAAATTCATAAAAGACATAGACAATAAAATGTTAAAACATACTTTGTTATTAGGAAAGTCGTTATCAATTGTAACTTATAGGGTAAGGCAGAATACAAAGGTACATTCTGACTTTTAGGAATCATACTGTATAATCCAAATCAACTGCATCGCCACAAATAACAAGCATCAAACAAACAACTTGTTCATTAAAATTCCCACTTAGTCTATTATGTAGAAATGTTTTTTTGCTATTTTTCTAACATTTATCATCTGTTCCGTGGTAAAAAGGGACAGTCAGGAAATTTTATGTAATAATAACTACATTATTTAATCAATGTAATGCAGTTTATTTATTAGGTTGAACAACAGAAATAAAAATCATTATCTAAATATATATTTTCAAACATAATAAACAAAAATCTCTATCAACTATTACTACTATCATAAATATTGCTTTGGTAATTATATCTCTCTTAGGGTGCGTTCATTAATCACATAATCAACTTTTTAAGTATTTTTCGCCTTGCTGATACATGGTGATATTTAAAATTAACCCCCTCCCCCACCAAATACCACGTGAATTTTTACTTACGAGAAAAAATTGTAAAATTTTAGAATTTTTTTGTAAACGTTTTGATTTTTTTTTAAAAAAAGTTAGGTAAAAAATAAATACACGTGATATCTTACTATACCCCTTTCCTCCAGCACGTGATATTTTGCAATTTTTTGTCAAAGCCCCACCCCCTCCCTCCAAAAACCTCACGTGATTAATGAACACCCCCTAAATTTATCATAATCAGACTCATTGTTCCTGTTAAGAACTCTTTTTATATATTTTATTTTTATTTTTGTTTAGAATTCGTTTAAATTTTTTTTATTATTACTATATTATGTACATTGGGTAGGCACCGGATATACCTGCATATTATTATTATTTTTTTTTATTTTTATTGGCCTCGCTTACTCGAGCATTTAGCCACCTACATTATTCTATACAATCATACCTACCAGCCACCTACATTATCCTATACAATCTTCAATTTTATACTATCTTCTTCATATAATCCTAATCTTTTTCGATACTTCTTAACTTATCTTCATTCTTCTTCTACTATCTTCTCATTTCATCTTCTAACCACTATTTCTTATTCTTCTATACTTATCATTTCTTCTTCTAAATTCGTCTTACTTCAATTCATTTTTAATTCTAATTATCTAATTTTTATACATTTTTGATTTTACATAGGGTAGGGCGGGGCTAGTTGAGCAAATTTTTACTTAAACGGATGTAGCTCCTCAATGAAAAGTATCAATAAATTGCTATACGGCTTATTGGATTTGTTGTTTATCGCATAACAAAAGTGTTAATACTTGTTTTTGGTAATAAGTAAAATATAAAAGCTACAGCTGTTTGAATGCAAAAAGTCAAGTATGCTCAATGTACCCCATAGGTGGGGCAAGTTGAGCACTAAGAAAGTATAATGAAATTATAGGTTCAATGTCCATTAGAGATGAAATAAAATAAGTTTTAATAACCAGTTCTATATTTATAGTCTTTATTGAAAGAAGAAACAAAACTTATAGTAATTTGCTTTGAATAATTAACGATTAATTAACTTAGGAATTATTTTACCATTATATTCAGTATTTTTGTTTAAAATCATTATTTCTTTATATCATTACTCATAGACTTAGCTTAAAACTTAAAAATAATAATTAATTTCTGGAAGTTAATGGTAATTGTCTTAGTGACAGAACAAGTTTAGCAACTATGCTCAACTAGCCCCAACTCGGAATTTCAAAATAAAAGTGAGTTTATAAAAAAACCGTGATAATTATACCCAGAATCTCTGTGCATATTAAAAGTACTATAATTATATGGAAGAATAAAGTTTACCTGGTTAAAAATAAATAACATTTGACTAAACTAGACGAAAACTCGTGATGAATGACTTTTTTACTTTTTGGTCTCAAAATAAACAAAACGCCCGTGAGCCTAACTCATTTGTCCAGCGGCCACTAGCGGTCGCGGGATGTTTATTTCTCCCAAACCTATATATTTCCGCCATATAATGCCTAAACGGACGGTGAATAGTTTTCGAGATATTTCGATTGCTCAACTTGCCCCTATGCTCAACTAGCCCCGCCCTACCCTACATATCTTATTAGTACAATTCATAATTCTATTATTATTCCAACTTAACTAGTTAATATTTTTTCAAATTCGAACTCGGAACCTCCAGCATGTGAATCGGGAACGCTACTCTTGAGCTAATCCCGCCACACCTGGATATTATATATTTATTCTATAATATCCTAAGCAAATTTGTATCTCCTAATTCCTTTATTATTATAAATTTATTGTTTCAATAAGAAAGGATACTGATTATTGCACATATTTATCTTGGTCATGAATCCATTTACCCTTTCAAAGAAATGTTCAATATTTATTACTGGCATTAATACGGATTAGAGGTAAAATCCTACATTCTGTATGTAAATATAAGTTCATATTTGTGACTGTTCCCTTCCCTAATAGGAAGAAACTCTAAACTATCACTGGATAATAAGGCTTTAATATAATAAATATACTATACTATATAATATAATAAATGGTATTGACACCCTACCATATGTAGGTTTTGAAACAACTTTAGGGTGTCAATATACAAGTATTTACAGACTTACCGCTGGGTTAACTCGAATTCCGAGATTCTTACCTAATTTAAGCTTAAATGACTGGACTATTTCGTATTGCACGGTCTGTTTTACAAAACTTCGATTAATTTTTATAGTTAAACCACTTTTCATAGGCCTATAATATTTTAAGGTGTTCGGTTTGACTATTTACTCTATCATCATGCAAAGTTTTATCAAAATCCCAGAAGAGTAAACCTGAGGTTCTCCTTGTTAGACTTGTGATGGAAAAATCTGCGCTGTATGTAATATAGTACAAGATCTAAGGAATCCATCGTGAGTCGACTTCCGCTTGTCGTAATTTACATTGTACGTCTCATTATGGTCATGTCAATAGATCGTTTATTTTCATCGTTTTACGATGGTCGCGCTTGATTTAATTGCATATCTATTGCATATTATTTCTGCCGTTATGACACTTCCAATCATTCTAAGCCGGCGGATGTTGCGAGTTGCTCTATTCGCAGATCGCAGTATCACGTGCTTCGTACTCTGCTCTTTCGCCGTGTGAGATAATAGGTCAAATGTGAAAATCGAATAAACACGGTAAGACTTTTTTTTACTAATTCGCTAATGGGCTAATTACTCCACCGACAGAACACACAAAAACACATACAGTTGAATCTTACTAATGCGACACCTCGATAGACCGACACCTTACTAATCCGGCAGTCTCGTGATTGAGGCGCAGGGCTAATTTTTGGAAATGTTTGGAAATATTTCCGTAATTTTCAATATTCAAACGGTTCAAACGTGAGCTAGCACCAACTAGTCCCAGGTTCGCTGGTTCGATTCCCGCTACCGCCAAAGCCTGACATCAGGCAGCTTTGATGTCAATTTTTCACTTGGGGTTATAGATCACAATATAATTTCAAGTGGAAATCGTCCTTCGTTGGCATAGCTGCATCATTCAATCATATGATAACTATTAGACTTAAGAGCTAATATAAACCCCACACATAGGAGAATGGTAAACCGGGGTTGCCTCTCATAAATTACGTTAGGTCATAAGTCTTTAACAAACAGCTTATAGAACATGTAAAGTAAGTGTTCCAATTGCTGTTGAAACAATAATAATAAAAATAAATTATAACTGTTGTATAATCCATATCACTATAATCCAACAATCCAAACTTATTCCAGTAATCCGCCACTCTCTGGTTTATCTATTGTGCATTTATCCGAAATTATGGGATCCTTATCAAAAATCTCTAACCTTAGCGAATATCTCATATTATTACTGTTCATTAAAATTTAAATGATGTTGTAATCTTCAATTAAATTACCGAATTTTTTTAGCGATATATATCATGGTTTTATAAAACTTACTGTAATATTGCGGCCTTACGACAAGTAGTTTAATTTTAAAAATTCATCAAAGTTTGAGAAAATCAGTAGTTTTTTTGACGTTAGCTAAAATTAAGACGATTTACTTGGTATAACAATATACCAAGTTAATAAACATACTAAACCATTAAAATTAATTGGATTTATTACACATCATTGCAAACGAACGAACGAACACATTAACTAAATTAAATGATGTTGTAATTAATTTTACCAAAATATTCTTCGTTTGCCATTATGATAAAGTTATTTATTTTTTGTTTCGATGGTTTTTCGAAGTTGATAGGATTGCATTGCATTTCTTATCCCAAGCTTTTGCATATCACAGAAGAAAGCATATGTCTAACAAAGACTTTCAATAAAAATTAGTTAAGCAATATCGAATTATTACACAAAATTGAAATTCACAAGTTTTGTTGGCATGTTTTTTTTTTCATTTATTTGTCATAACCAATCTGAACCCTTAGGTTCAATGAGATGAGGTTATCTGCTGTTAGGTAAATGGCATTTAGAAATTTCTTCATTGTGCTTGATGTTAATATCATTATCATTATCATTTCATTATCATTATCATTAATATCATTATCATTAATATAAATATCAAATTATTTAATTGCTCGTACCTAATTAAAGATTAATTGTATGGATGCAGGACAATTGATCAAAAATTCAATTGGAAGGCATCTAACTTGTTAAAACATAAATATATAACTGGCATCTAGTTGAAAAATATAACTTGTGAAAACTTATTTGTAACTAATGAAATTATTACTTTTAATAAACAAACATGAATATAACTTATTTCAAAATCTGAAATTTGCCATTATACGTGTAGCAGAAAAACGGGTTAATTCCAAACTACATAAAAGCGGCAATATTTTTATTATTTCTATGTAATTTGACGCTTTGTGATCTTTTTCTTTAAAGAGATGTTTCTTTATTAAAGGTCATTTTATGTGTCATATGTCGACTGTCGACTTTTCTTTGCAATTAATTTGTATTATGAGATACTAGATATTAGTTTCTATTTTTTTTACTTTGTATGAATATTGTTTTACAATTATAAATCAGTCATTATTAGTTTAAAAACAATATTATTAAAAACAGTATTAAGTAAAATCATCGTAAAAACTTCTTGGATTTGGATTAAATTGTAGATAACATTTTACCCTTATCTAGTGTAATATTTTACCCCCCACCTTTGTTGTACAAATGCTTATTTTTTCAGATCAAAACTTAAATGTATAGTTTGACAATAAATCTATTTTTTTATATTATTTGAACAGCAATCAGAATTTAAAGGGTTCTATAAGCTTTTAAGATTATTTGACTACGTCAGTCTTATAAGAGGCAACCCAAATAGTTGTTCTATTTCTATATGATGGATTTTTATTATTATAATATCTGTAATAGTGAAGAATTTTTTATTGATACAGCAATGCTGGGCGAGGATTATATTCATTAGGAAACATATTGCGATCTGTGTTTCCAAGTGAAAACAGATGTCACTACTGCTTGATATCAAACTGCCCAAGGCGAGTATCAAACCTGGAACCTCTGATGAAAATTCCACAGCTGTAACTACTAATCTACGGGTGAGTCCTAGACAATAAATCTAAGATAGATTAGAGCATTATCAATTTTAACGCCTCAAATATATAATATCCATAATTGACAAATATTATATTGGTTGAATCAAACATTGTCGGAAATGTTTTATTACTATAGGTTATATTCGATTTTAAGATATAAGCAAATATTACATGTTTGTTTATATAGAACTCGGTGTCTGAGAGAGGAGTGAAAGGTTCGTTTAAGAATTGCACACGTGTATATAAATGTGCGACTTTTATATAATACTAATTAAATGGTAAATTCATTCGTTTTGTTACTTACGCTATCTATGACCAAACGAACTAGGCAGGAAAATGTGGCGGCTACCACGGCGCCGAGGATTATCAGGACGACGCCGATTCCGATCACGAACCCTAAAATATTAAAAATATTAAAAATCATATAAAGAAATATTATATAACTAGAAAATATAATTATTTTTTTTTTAATTTTTTTATTTGAACAGCAATCAGAACTAATGGGTTCTATGAGCTGTTGTGAGCAAGATCTTACAAACTACGTTTGTTTTATTTCAGATGGCAACCCAAACAGTTGTCACATCTCTGTATGATAAATTTTTATTACAATCTCTGTAATAGGGCAAGTATGGAGCAACAATGCCGTGTGAGGGCTATTTTCACTTGGAAACATATTGCTATCTATATTTCCAAGTGAAAATCGTTGTCAATGTTGCCTGACAACAGGCTGCTCGAAATGGGTATCGAACTCGGGACCTCTGAAACAAGTCCCGTTGCTCTTAACCGCTTACCTACGGGCGAGCCCAGAAAATATAAATAGCTAGAACATGTAAAAATCGTAGAACACTAATTAAAAACTATCATGCTCATACATCTTTAATTGATTGAATATTTCATTTCACCATCAATAAGTCAATGGTATTAAGTCAGTTGGTATTAAGTTTTGAAATGGCATGATATCAAAGTTAATTCTGACTTTGGTGGTTTTTGCTTAAAAATATGTAAGTTCATCTCGGAATTCGAGATACCCAGCTGCAAGTCTTGTAAATACTTGTATATTGACACCTAAAAGTTGTCTCAAAATCTACATATGTGGCGTACACCCCATCATATGCAGACAACTTGGGACAACTTTTAGGTGTCAATATACAAATATTTACAGACTTACAGCTGGGTATCTCGAATTCCGAGATTCTTACCTAATTTAAGCTTAAATGACTGGTTTAATTAGTCTGGTAAAGCGGGGCTTTTACAACGACCAATTTGACCTTGAGCAATTCTATTTCAAAAACCAAATATTCCAAAAAATAACATACATTAAACAAGCAACTATCTGACTATGTTCGGTAAAACTTCTATAGCTAATTCATCGTTGCAAAAACGTATTTTTTGCTGTTTCTCAAAAATTTTGTTTGGTGGAATAAAATGGGACTACCAGGGGTTAAACAGATCCAATGTCTTATTTTCAAAGGGTTTTAACGAAATAACTGCTACATTATTCAACCAATGCAATGCAAAATGTTTTGATCACATTTTTCACTGAGATATATTTTTCACTGTATATAACTTTGATCTGGTATTTTGTCAGAAATATTTATCAGCAAAGTTGGAATAACTATTTATTTAATTTATTTCTTGTAAAATTACCTTTCTTAATTTAATTTACTTTTTTATTTACTATTTTCATTGATTACACCATTGTCATGGTAAAGGTTCTGTTGATTCTTCTTACCCCAACCACGTGCAAGCTTTTATAGAGGTTATATAAAAAAACTGTTGTATCTGACTTGAAGTAACTAACTTAAGTATGTTTATTCAAAAATAAATTTATTTCAAATCTTCTAACGAAAATGTACAACAACGTTTTGTGCTAGATTTGTTGCTAGTAAAAAACAAAATAATTTATCTTTAAAAAAATTGAGGTTAGTACTTTTTTGAGAAAGAAAATAACGAACGAAATCTCAACGAAGCACGACAAATTAAAATAAAACGAGTTTATTGGTAATTTAATACAAAACTTAAAAATTCGAAGAAATTTAGAAACCTTCGAGATTTGAATTAGTTATTCAGGATATTTTTATTCTTCAATATTTTTGCGTGCACATATTTATATTTTACCGAGAATATAATTTTTATTTATTTATTTATTTATTTTTATTGGCCTCGCTTACTCGAGCATTTAGCCACGTACAACATATTTTAATTTCATTACAATATTTCAATTTCAATACAATCTTTTCAGGTTCATACTATTTTTTTTTATATAAATCCTATTCTTCTTCCTATTTTATATATTCTATCCTATTCTATGTACTCTTCAACGCAACTTCATTCTTCTTTTTTTTTTTTTCTTCTTTATTATCTATCATTATATCTTCTATCTTCTTACGTCTTCATTACTTCTATTCTTACTTCTATTACTTCTATTCAATTTAATTTTTTATTTTCAAACCTTTTTATACGTGATTGAACTGTTTTTAATACTACTTCAAACTATTTTTAACATTATTTCAAACTATTTCCAACATTATTTCAAACTATTTTTAATAGTATTTCTATATTATGCCGGGGATTCGAACTCCGAACCTTCGGCGTGTGAATCGGAAACGCTACACATGAGCTAATTCCGCCACCCCGAGAATATAAATAACAGGCTTTTATCTAGATAATACATATTTATATCTATAAGTATGCTTCATCTAATATTATTATTAGGTGAAACGTGTGTTTATAACACTTACTTCATGTAATTGTATGTAATTAGTGGAATGAGTTCAGCATCATATTTTATTTATTTATGTAATTTTTACTGTTATTACTAGAATGATAATCATTAGATTTATGGTTCTAAATGAAGTCAAGCTTAGTGATAATTTAATTTATTATAATCAATACTTATACATAATATCTACATAATTTGCTTATTGTGTTTTTCCTATTTTATGTGATAACCGTGTCTAATATTTCATATACTATACGCCCAATATTGAAAACGCTCCCAAATTTGTGAAATGCTTTCACTACTATATAACTGTTTTAGAAAGTGTGATATCACCCATGAAATGGCGCGAATTCTGAATTTTTAAGCGTTCAAACACTTTTGCCTATTATTCAATATGTTTTATAATTAGAAAATATAACTTTTAAATAACTGCTTTTTAGATGTAATCATTATTTTTATTTATTAAATCCAATATTGATTAGTTGCAATTTTTAATAGGTTAATAAAACATGCTGAATGACTTATGTTTTATTAGCTTGGCTCATCAAATAAAAGCGACGTAAACTTTGAACCGAACAGAATGGTGCCAATTATCTATTTTACAAATTTGTCTACTTAATTTGAAAGTTCCCTTTTCAATACATAAATATATGCTACGATTTGTCTGTTTTGGTGTTTGAAACATTTTTATATGATGGTATAATTTTATTTAAAATTTAAAATATTTTCATCTTATTATAAACGTGTATTATAAACGTGTTGTTGTTGTTTACTTGTTTTAACTTAAAATTTTCAGTTATTTATTCTTCAATCTCTATTTTTAAGCAAAGTATTAAGTGAGTATCAAATTCAAGTATAAAAGTAATTAAAAAAAGTATCAAATGCATCATCTACTTTTTTTTAGAAAACTTGTTGTTCAATTCTTTCTATATTTAGAAAATCTATATTTATAATTTTAAGGCGTCAAAATTCCACTCAGTATGAAAGCAATGTCTTTTCAGTCTAAAGTCATCGTACCATAAAGGTATATTGACTCACTTATTAACATAAATTCTTTTGACTTTGAAATGAAATTCTTTATGCCTAACATTTTGCAAGAAAGATTGTTTGTTTACTTATTATGTTTTAAAAATAAGAGGAATTCCTTTTGAAACTACTGCAAATATTGATACTAGAAGGCCATTCAGCTCTTGTAATTGTCTTAATGCCAAAAATAAAACGATATATATATATATATATATATATAACATAAATTAGAACCATATGTCACAAAAATTTAAATTTGCAAATTAGCACGCTATTTTGTATAAAAGTTTCTTAAGCCCTCAATAATATCTTACGATACTTCCAAAAATATCCAATAGTTTTTTCACAAAAATCGCTTATTGGCGTTGTAACCATGGACAATATGAAAATATATGATATTCATAATATAAATATAAATTAACTGTTAAGTTTTTTTTAATGCTATTTTAATATTATTTTTGAAAATCGGAATATCACCGTCGTTTAGCAACTGAAGGCATTTTTGGAAATAGTTTTTGTATTTTCTACGTTACCTATTAATGGCGAACATAAGAATATAGTAATGTCTTTGTTTAAAAAATAATTATAAACATGTATTAATATAATATTAAAAATTAATTTACTATACACCGTTTGAAAGTTACGAAGAAGCTGTTAGAAAACAATGACGATGATTTTCAATTTATTTGAAAACTTCCTATAACGAATTGAAATGTGTATGGCAATTCGATTACATTATATTATTAGTATCTGCAAGTATCATGTAATGACATATTAATGACATTTCCTAATGAGCTTGTTAAACAACACTACGTAACAATTTGATTTGTAGCAGATGAATTGACTGATTTTGACAACGAGTTAACAGTAATGGAATTCTACAAAACGATTGAGTTACATCATCCGCGACAAAATTAATTTAGCCATATTGGTTTTACATAATATTCCAATTTTATATCTAATTGGTATAATATAATACTATTGGAAAAGGTCATTGTAAACATTATAGCTAAACAAAAAAATTCGCTTTTTTTCAACATATCTATATCGTCGAGGTATTTACTAGTACTTAGTGATATATGAGAGTGATTGAAGTACGTATCTTTGAGGTAATGATAAACTTCAGCCTAAAGCCTTCCAATGACGAAATGAAGTTAATTTTAAAAATATTGTTAAATTTTTTATTACAGATCTGTATAAAGTTGAAAGATTATTAAGTTATTGTCTGAAGTATTGAAAGGGAATTTCAAACTTAGTCGATTACTGACATGAAATATGCACCATTTTTTATTTTTTCATTCAGTTTAGTTAATTAACTATGATGTATTTTTTTTAAATTGAAGTTTAATATTAGATAAACAAAACTCGTACCTGTAAATCACGTATTTATTTATTTTTTTATATATTAATTATTATTTTATATATAAATTATTAAGGTAATAGATTAATAATAAAAGTAAAATAAATATTTTTAGTAGAGGAGACTGGGTACGGTTGTGCGACTTTTTTTTTGATTACCCATAATTTTGTTAATTTAGCAGTTATCTGGGAGAAAAGTAAATTAAATGGTAATTTGAACATTTGTTTTCGTGGACATACTAAAATACTGTCCGTAAATACAATAGATTAGTCATAAAATCAGATCATA